AATGACTTCAAGTCAAGCTACTAGTCATTGGTTGCCTGGATGCAACACATAATACAAGCTGAGAAAGTCTCCTCTCTGTGAAGATGCTGCTGTCAGAGTGACCATTCTTTTGTTCTCTTTACATATCTAAGTATTTTTTTTCCAGTAGTGTGACTGATGTTGGTAACAGACAGAAAGTATCTAGTTGAGTGAATACCTAATCACAAAGGAAAATGGGAAGCTGGTTTGAGGAATCACTGTTCAGAGTTAGATTATTTCTGACTGTTCATCCAAACAAGCAAAAAAATTCCAGACTGCTTCATCGCCACAGTGCAAAGTGCCCTTTAGTGTCTACTTCCAGTGTGCCGCTGCAGAGCATATTCACCAGGAATAGTAAAGTCAATTAAGACTAACCAAGTTTCATTTTCTGGGACCAAAACTGTTTAATCAAACATATTTCCAAAAGTGCATGAAAAAAATCCCACATCTTCAACTGTTAGAAACACATACCCCTACCAATGAGTTCACATTTGACAGCACAAAGGCTATCTAATCTGTTATGGCTAAATTCACCTCTCATTAAAAGCTGCGTCACACCGAACCTGAATAATCACCTTGACAGGAAAACAGACATTTCTGCTACCACTTACATAGTTGTGAAAGCATCAGATGGCTTTCAGTGTTTTTTGGACCTGAAAATTGAACCTTTAAACTTGCTTTTCCACAAAGCCCGATGGAAATGTTGTACTCCAAATTCTGCTTTAGGACAAAGACAATTTTCTTGAGAAACGCTGTGGAGGCATGACTAGAGACACTAACATCTATACAGAGCTGTTGGTTTATGGAAGCCTTCATATGTTAGGACTGGATTCATTCAGATAGTCTACTGGTATATTTTCAGTCCATAGTTTGTAAAAATATTTCATTATAATGAATACAGAACCAATCTCTTGTCTCAAAGACAACAAACTGCTAGTTGTTTTTTAAAAAACCTATACATCAGTCTAATTCATTTTGGGCAAAGAATAAACAGACTATGATTTCTAAGTTTCAAAAGTATATACTGGAAAGGGACACTGTGAAAAATTAGAAACAAATCAAGTAAAATTAAGTAAAAAGAAAGAATTAAATACAACAATACAAGGTATCAAATCACCAAATAGCTTGCATTGAAAGGGGCCTTAAAAGATCATCTAGTTCCAACCCCCTGCATGGGCAAGGACACCTCCCACCAGACCGGGTTGCTCAAAGACCCATCCAACTTGGCCTCAAAGACTTCCAGGGAGGAAGCATTCACAACAAACAAGCTTAGCATTGGATGAACAGGTAAATTTAAAAATAATTGGCCACCAAAGCATTCAAAAATGTTTAATTTTTTCTCAAAATGATAATAAGATTATGTATTCATCTCCTGCAATGATAAAGAAACCCATCTCATTGCACTGGAAAAAAAGATCTTATGTTAAGTAACTTTTGCTAGAGAATACCTACACAACACACAATGTTTTTGTTTTACTGAAAAAAGATCAACTCCTTTGACTCAAAGGGTATTTTTTTTTTTACATATAAAAGTTTAATCTAAATATCTGGAGTCTCAGGGACTTCTTAATACACGGCATTTAAAGAGTAATTTGGTATTTCTTCCATATACTTTCACAAATCATAACTGTTAAGTGATTTATGTAACAATGCTCTCTTTGCTGCACATAGAAAAGTCTTAGATTCTCTGAGAAGGGTATGGTCAGTGTTCCATATGTAGATCCTGGGTAAGTGTTTAAAAATGTTTAAATATCATGCCTGAAAGTGTTTTAGAAGCGTTGGCTAAGATCACATCAATCCACTTTTATCCAAAATTTGGAATTTCTCCAGCTTTAAAAAGGATGTGAGGGTGAAGGGTGAGGTGAGGTGGAGTAGAAATCTTTCCTTCATGCCTTCCAGACAACATCCAAACTATGCTACTTCTTAGCAATGGACAGCCACAATAGTTATTAGCTGGCAGAGAACTGGGATGACCAAACTGACTTTGCATTCACTTTAAATAAGCCATGTTATTTCTCTTTTTCTTTCTTTTTTTTTTCTTTTTTTTTTTTTTGTATAATGTTTTTCATGCTTTGTATTTGATGTAGCTTTATGCAACAGCAGCAGAGATATATCTTTTGTTTTCCCCTTTTGAAAATAATCCTCCCCTGTTCTTTATAAACTGGACATTTAGGAGACAAAATACTGAAATGTCAAATCTAGCCAACAGAGGAAAAAGACAAAACCTTTTTCTTTTCTTTTTTTAGATAATTCTGTAGTGCATAATTAACCAAACTCAATTTTACAGAAGGAAAAAGTACTAATTCTAGTGACTAAGTTATTTAGAGTAAAGTATTTCTCTCTAAGTGTTTTTTTGCATTTGGAATATGACATTGATCTTTTTGTATTCAATTGTTCTGAAAATATTTTCATGAGTAACAGTTAACTTAAATCTTTGACAAAAACATTCCCACAAAACCTTACAGATCAAGTTAAAAATCTATTTTTTCTTTAGGCAAAGTTGCACGCATTTCAGTTCTGTACACCCTTTCAGTGCTCCCATCCATTAATTAGCCATTGATTTGAAAATGTCGATTTTCCTGATAATGGTTTTATGTGCAGTAAAATCAAACTCATTAAATTCCTTTTATTTCAGATGAAAAAGTGGATCACAACTTCACACTTCTTTAAACAACCCCAACTGAAAGAAGCATTTTGATTTTTTCCCTCATTTTATGCTTAAAGATTTTCAGTTACTTCTGTACATGAATGACTAACCTCGCATATTACAGAATGAGGTTTGATAGGACTTTTTCAGTACAGTAAAAAAAAAAAATAGTTGCAAGCAAAACTGAGCTCCTTAACAACAGCAATATTTGCATTGTTTTTAAATGCCTTACAAAAGAGATGTGCAAAACCGAAGGCAGTTGTTAATGCCATTATAATGATGAATAAACTGACACTTTTAAAGCGCAACTTAGTGCATCTCCTGTAGCTTTATCTACTCAAAAGAAAAGTAAGGAATTATTTAAAACAATATGGTAAGCTTTCAACTTATACTTCATCTCCTAAAGTTGAACCTTAGTGTCACGATCCGTGACCTATTATATCTCCTTATTGGAGTGTATTAACTTATCAGGATTTGCTGAGAGATCCACACGTGGGTATCGCCTCACACAGAGGAGACAGGGGCTTATGCCCTGACTTTTTCGAGTGAATAACTTGCTCAGTGCTTACTAATATTTCTAAAGAAATGCACGGTTTATTGTGGGGAAAACAAAGCAATTTGGGGCAGGAGGTTCAAAAGGAGTGATTACAACACATTAAACATATATGGGTACACCTTAGTTACACATCTTATTTAAGTGAGGGAAGGAGAGGGGAGGGATATGCCCGAATGGCTGGATTATACTTTCCCCTATAAGCTGGGGTAGCCGGAATTGTCTCACCACGCGGCAGTGCAGGTAGGATGAGCTGGGTAGCAAAGAGGCTGTGGGCACTCCAAGCGCAGGTCGCCCCCCCCCCACCCCCGTAGCTGCGGCACGGCTGTTTGCAGACCCTGGAAACGCGGCGGTTTCAGCGGCGCTGGGACTTTTGGCAGCAGCGGCAGCGGGCAGGCAGGCGGCGGCAGCGAGCTCCGGGACTTTGGGACTGCGGCTCCAGCAGCGGCGGCGGCGCGGCTCTGCGGCGAGCGGGCAGGCAGGCAGCGGAGCAGCTCTGCAGCAGGGCAGCTCCCAGCAGCGGGGGCGGGCGGCAGCGGACGGCCGGGAAAGGCGGGGGG